TTCTAAAGGAAATTATTAGCAAAAACCCGTGAAAAACATATGTGACACATCCGCTCAACATCCCCAAAAAGAATATTTCTGTGTTTATTGAAAGGAACCGTAATTTTTTACCTCATTGGAATTCTGCCAATTGTTGAGTTTACGTTGTAATTTCAACAATTTTTCTTTCTTTTTTGCTATTGCTATACCTTAACACAAAATGCGATGTAATGGGGAGGAGGAGGAGGGGGGAGGGGGGGTAGCAGTTAAACAATGCTACAACTTATGAGCACTTATCACAATAACAAACACGTAAAGAGACAGATAGATTAATGCTGGTACAAATTCACAAGTTTTAAACTTGCTTTTGTTTAGCATCATAATTTTAGTCTTTAGACTACGCTTCTTTCCCATCCCCCTTCCCCTTTTTTCCCCTACGCTTGTTCTAATCTAAATTAATTGCTATGCGGAAACTAATTGATAATGAAGGCCAAATTTCTACAGTATTGTTCTGTTGAACATCCTAAAATATATATTTTTGCGGTATTAATTCGGAAAAGAACTATTTTTGAATAAGGGGCAACGATGATGCATTGCAGAGTTTATTCGGCTATTTTAAAGTTGTCGACAATTTTTTTTCCGTGCTCCCGTCCAGTCAAATCTTTTGTACATTCGTTTTCAATTTCTGTTTATTCTTGTCTTTATTTTACCGTTGAATAACAGGAAATTCATATAACGTATAGGGCCCCAATAATGCCAACAAAATAAGCAGTAACTATATATACGTTTATATAAATATAGATATTTATATGTGTAGGTTTGTGTATGTGTAGAACAAAAATCTAATATTCACAAATAACTGCTGATGACCTCTGTATTCTGCTGTAAGTTTATTTCCACTGATGAAGATTGGCTAAATTTTCACATCTAATAATACTTTTATGGCAAAAATTAGGTGTAGCTGTTCTGTGGCATAGCCGTTGCGAATTTGGTTTAACAGAAATTTTCTTCTGGCCCAGGTAATTTCTTTATTTAATTTTATAAATAAATTTTATTTTCTCTTAAAACTTTAGATAACTTCTGAATGAAGAAAACAAAAAGTCTTTATTGATTGTTGTCGATATAACGGCTTATCATTAATGTAAATTTATTCTTTTGTTCTTTGTCACTTTTTATTTTTTATTTTTTAATGATTTTGTTCATTTTCAGTACACAAACGATGAAAAAAATCAAGAAGAGAAATATAATGATACTAAACGGTTTTTACGCTTGCAATTTGGATTTCTGCAAAGAAAAAAATTTAGACTATCAAGGAATATATCAAATATTACACTGTTAATCTCAGATGCCGAAGCAAACTGCACCTTATACTGGCTTCATGACTTTATTCCATTGTCGGAGAGTGAAATCAAGTGAGAAGCTGTCAGTTAGAAACGAGTGTTTTTATGCGTTTACTTCCAAATATTTTATTTTTATCATTCATTTGTTTGAACACCGAGTAATTCGCTACAGTTTTATCAGGCATTTTTTTTGTTTTACATATATATTGAAGATTTTGTTGCTTGTTGCATTAATTGTGAAATATTATAATTACTTTTTAATCTTTTATTTGCCTTATGTTTTCAAGATTTGAAATGAGGAGTATACAGAAAGTTTTTTTCGCATGCAAAAATTATTAGGTCAAGCCGCTTTGTTTACCTAATCCAAAGTTGTTGATCTAAACTTATTGTTACCTTTTGCCAGTCTAATTTCGAATGAATTTTTTTTTTGTGATTTTAATTTTGTTTTATTAAATTTGTTACTGCTGTTGAGAAGAACACACTCCAATGAAGTTTTGTTTTTCACAAAGCGGTAATCATTTTTGTGCTACTTTGTCGATACTTGACGGCTTGAGTGCCTGTTTTTGATTGATCCAGGGTCTTACTCTTTTTGTGAGAAGTGTTCTGTGAACTTTGTAAATTTTACAGAATTTCTACCATATATCTTCAAGAAAAAATCGACTTACGTTACCCTGTAAAAAACAGCTTTTTTGGTTACTATTTATTGGCTGTGACATTATCAGGAATATTGCGTGTTAAATGATGTGTTCTGTTTTTATCAATATTTATTTTGCATATTCGATCTACACTTACAAAACAATGAAAGATATATCACCATTTATTGCTCAAGCGTATTTTAAGCAGAAATGTGCGCATATACTTATTTTTGAATAAGATGTAAGAAGTTTTAGGCACTGCCAAGGGTCAGCATTAACTCGTAGTTTCGTTGCAGTATATTCGTGCGGAAGGGAAAACATTCCCCGTTAACTTTGTTTAGGTGAAGTTTTTTTGTTGCTATAGTCTTGAAATATTTGTATTTCAATTGTTTTTTTTTTTCAAGTTAATATCAAAGAATATTCAATGTATGACCTTTTGCTGAATATTTGTTTTAGTTCGAGTGTGCTTACTTGCTTTTTTTAGTTACAGGATAACATCATTTTTTCGGAAATGTGCATTTAAAATCACTAGTTTTTGAGACAGTTAATGTTGTAACGGTAGTCCTACATCCTGTCGCTTCTCACTTCATTGCCATCTGCTTAACGATGTCGCTGCATAATCTTCTAGTTCCCTTCATTTGCAAAGTAGGTTGTTTTTGCTGGAGATGAATTCACGATATTGCTTTTCAAACGCATTTGCTCGTTAAGATTTGTTTTTTAAGGATAATAATAACGTGGAAATTTAAGGAGTTTTATTGGACTCACTGCTTGTCGGCCAGCTCTCTCTGTTTGGTATTATCCCGTAACAGTCAGCTTCCTTCATTAGTAAACAGTAGGCGGTTTTATTCTTCAATCCCTGCTCCCGAAAAATCTTATGCTACTACAGTCTCTGTCATGCCACATTTTGTGCAGAAAAAGCTCGAAAAGTTAAAGGTAGAAGACTTCTTGAAATCCTCTAAATCCATGATTTATTGAATGTTAAGTACATTTCAAAAAAAAAATAATTATTTTGAATGACTGTAAGAATCGTTTAGATTCCAGGTAGAAGTAGTTAATTCAATATTAGATCAGCCGTCACTAGTTGCTTCATTGGCTGAAGCAGGCACAGCGGCTCAATCTGATTTCACAAAGAACCTTCGTAAGATGGCTGAATATTACTTTAATCATAGCGGGAAATTGTTACGGCCGACAGTTTCATTGCTGATGGCTTATGCATGCAACCAGTTGAAAACTAAAGAGTTTGTGCTTTTTGTGTTTTGTTTCATTTTCGTTTCAAAATTTATGAAACTAAAGAGAATATTTCTTTAAAAAAATTATGATTTTACTAAGAGATTTTTGGGGTTTTTGTGGTGCACAACTGTTACACTGCCAAAAAATATCTCAGGTTCAATCATTTTTACAATTTCAATGCCGGCATGATGCTTGGTTGATATCGTCGGCCGTGTATGCTTTTTTTTTATTCGTTTCAGTGTTTTGTGTAATATCATAACTTTCCGTTTTCGTTTCACACGTTGAAATACGTCGTGAGACAGAGGAAAATTTATTGAACTGTATTTTTTCAAAACTTTCTTTGACTGATTTACCTGGTGCTCAATAAGTGGAGGTTTAGTTCATTCTAAGGAATAATTTTACAGTCAATTTTTGGATATCCTCTATGGTTTTTCTTTACATTAACACTTTTCCTGCCATAAAAACGAACTCCTTTTTTCAGCACCTCAACTGTCAACTGTGAGGTGGAAGAAGTCAATTTGAATCAGTACGTGATAGCTGTTGTTTCTGAAATGATACATACAGCTTCATTGGTGCATGATGATGTTATTGATGAATCCGTTGTGCGGCGGAACAGCCCTACGGTTAACGCTTTGTGGGGAAACAAAATGGTTTGCTCTTTCATGTTGATTCTTCAGTCGAAGTAGGTTTATGGTAAATTCAAATGTAAAACCCACATGAATATAAGGGTTAAGCTGTGTTTCTTATAGCTTTTCAGGCTAGATTTCGTTAGGCATTTTTAATGTGGCAAATTAATACACTTTTAACCACTAGTATTTGTTTTTTTGAAGGTTGTAAAGGTCTAAGTGCACGTTTCTATAATCATTTTACATGCAGACGGAGGTTAGTCGAGATCAAAAGATAATTTTTTAGTTTCTGCAAACTTTGATGTTGCTTCTTCATGTTATTTAGGATAAAACACTTCTTCTTCATAAACTTCTTTTTATAAAAAACGAATTACTCACAGTTTTAGGTGCTCAGAGAAGTACAAAATAGTTTTATTTGCAGCAGTTCAAGATATAAGTGAAAATTTTCTTGAGTAAATTTTCATCTGCATTCACTAAACGTTTTTTAAATCTTCTGTGTTACTCTTTTAATTCACTACATTTTTTGGATTTTCTGAGGTAAATTTATGTATTTTGATAGTAATCTTAAATCCTATTTTTCATATTAAATAAATCTCTTTTAGTGAGCATCTTGAAATGCGCCGAAAAATAAAACAATTTTAGTTAATTTTTGATGTCAGAATTTACTCTTCCAATAAACTCCACAGAAGTTTGTGTCATGGTCGCGTTAGGAGAAAGATCTAGTTTATCTTGCAGCCTTCAAATGACCATTAAGTATATGAATTGGGACACAACAGTCAAACTGATGCAACTGCTTTCAAGCCATGGTCGCTTCCTTACAGCATTGTTAACGTTTAAGACTACAATTCTATCTTTCAATTTTAAGTCAGCCTTTGTAGTTTGTTCTTCTTCGGCTGTCTTAAAAACGAGCTCTTCTTTTGATAGTTAACAATTGTATTCGTTCGTTGGATGGAGGCGTGCTGAATTGGTGATTTGCTGTAATTTTAGCTACAAACTCGAGCGATGTATCTAGAGCTTATTTGTTGTGCCACTGGCTGTAGCGCTCTAAATCACCAAAGTGACTCAGTTTTTGTGTGTATGTAGGGTTATTATAGGAGAATGCTGATATTGGATTCCACTAAAAAAAGTCCTTAAAATATTTGGAAAATAAGATTTACTTTTAAAACCATATTGTTTTGCTCAATGGCTTCAGTTGTTTTTAGGCTGTTCTGGTCGGTGATTTTATTCTTGCAAGAGCCACTCAGTTACTGTGCAGTATTGGTCGTCCAAATGTTATCTCTGTGATGGCTTTGATAATCGAAGATTTGGTGAAAGGCGAATTTATGCAAATGACTTCTGGTGGGAACAAGAGTAGTGCTGAGCATTTTAAGGAATACATGACTAAGACGTATTTTAAAACAGCATCACTGTTTGCAAATAGCTGCAAATCCGCTGCAATGCTTGCTGGTAAATACCCATTCCTTCACGCAGCATTTGTAAATTAACTTGAATTAGAATTTGGTTTTATAGGAATAGTTTATTTTTTAGATATCACTAAGAAGTATGAACATACTGCATATGAATATGGTCGTTCGTTAGGAACAGCTTTCCAGTTAGTTGATGATATGTTAGATTTTGTTTCCACCTTGTCTGTTTTGGGTAAGCCAACAGCCCACGATCTCAAATCAGGTTTGACTAATGAAATGAAACATTTGGAATAATTACTAATAAGATTTTTCTTCGTAGCCGTTAGTGATATCCGCTTTCCTTTCTAAAGTAATCAGTAATTGAATTATAGGCCTTGCAACAGCCCCTGTCTTATTTGCTGCTGAAGAGTGCCCGGAACTTGAAAGGCTAATTTCTAGGCGATTTTCTGAGGACGGTGATGTTGAAAAGGCCTGGACAGTCGTTGTAAATAGTAGGGGGGTCGAGAAAACTCGTTCTTTGGCAAAAGAGCATGTTCAGCGGGCCGCAGATCTGGTCCTTTTTTATTTTTTGTTTTCAGTAAAGGATGATTTTTTAATTCAAGTTTTATCGCAAACGTTTTATTTGTTCCTGATTCGCATTATCTATTCTTTAATTATGAGCTATCTTCATGTTTACAATTTGAAGTTTATCAGCTTGTTCCAACTTCTGTTGTTTAAGGCTTCACAGTTCCCAAATGGTGAGGGAGTCAGAGATCGACTGGTTGATCTGGCCGTAGCTCAGTTGGAAAGACAGAAGTAGAGAATTTGTCTTTAGAGTATTAATGTTAGATGTTTAGAAGTTTTTTGCAGGTTTATAGCGTTTATCTGAATTTTAATGTGCCTATGTCTGTCTTTGTAATGTTTATAGGTTAGATGATACTGACGTACTGCTACTAAAAAAAGCAGCTGATTAACTTTGTTTTCTAGGAGTTGTTAAAAGATTTATTAGGTTATGATTCAGAAGTGGAAATCACAGTTTATTTTTTGCTTATTTTTAGTTTTGATTACGCGAAGATTGTTATTGACGAGCGCAGGATGGAGTGTGCCTAAGTATATCTTTTAGTTGTAGTAATTAGGTGAAGTTTAGTTCATAGTTTAGTACTTTAGCGGTATACGATGCTGGAACTTTTTTGTGCGATTTTTTCTCTTCGCCTACTTTTAACTGCATGATGCAAATTTGTTATAGATGGCCTTTGTTTCAAACTGGCTGAAAAGTTTATTGTAATAGGCAAGATTATTTCAGTCGTTAACGGAATCGCTTGGCACCCTGAACATCGTTAGCACTAGTGTCTGTGCATGTCCGGTTAGTGAGGAGGGGCTAAGCTGATTTTTTCTTTCATACTTTCAAGTTGTCTTGGTTATTTTCATTTTGAAGAGCTTATTACTGTTGTGTTGTAGGAGGTACAGTTTGTAACTTACTGACGCTCTTTTCATCCGTTGCCTAATTTGGCGTATTTTTGGGTCTCTTAGCATAGCTGAGTTATTTAGAATCATTTTCATTGAAAACCCATCTGCTTTCCTCATTGTTGCTGTGTTTTGGTTTTACATTAGCTGCGACTGACTGCATAAAGTCTGGTTCCCTGGCATTCAGGACGCATAGATATCTTGGCGCGTGCGGGAGAAAATTTACTTTTTTGAGTAGACAGGCTTTTTGTCTGAAAACATATGCATTTTTGATCTATATTGGCATGGGGAGATTAGTAAGATAAGTATTGTTCGAGAGTAGATGGGTTTGGGTCTGCCAAATTTTGGAGAGGTTTTTTGACCTTCTAGTTATGAAGTAGCGTTCTGTGTAGAAGCATCAGAATAATTTTGTACTTGTGCGAGACCACTTTCAATTGGAATTCGTTAAAATAAGTGTGCAACTATCCCACAGCAATCAGTTTTCTGGTTAGCGAGGATAGCTTATCCCACATTCTTGACATTGAGAACTTTAAATCTATATATGTTGTTCACGTTAGGCTAATCTGATTAATTTTAAGGCTTTTTAGGAAAGGATATGTGTCTTCAGCTGTTGAACAGGGATAAGACCAGTTTATAACATTCATCACTGCTATATTTATAAACAATTTTGTAATCAGAATAAGAACGCTTAACATAGCTGAGAAGTGGAAATGTAATAAGCAAGAACATATATCGACACAAGTGACAGACAATCGTAGCTGAATCCAGATAGTACTAATCAAAATCACGGATGCGTTGGAGCGGTTAAATGTTTTGTTGAACGAGCAAGCCGTCTAAATCAACAATGACTTTCCTCAGCTTTTCGTTAACACCATTTTTGAACATATCATTCGTGAATTCTTCCTGAAATCGAATGCAGTTGAGAAACGCGGCAACAGCTACCGGTCGAGATTGATTTTTATGGAAGATTACGGGATTTTAGCACTACCTTTGAAAGGTATTCGTAAACGAGGTTTACGCGACGTACAGATTTTTCACTTAGCGTTGTCTCGACAACAGATCTGAGTGATGTGTAGAGATCGTTGAACAATGACTGTAGGTAATCCCGGTTATATGAGAATGATACGTTTACGAACGAGATTACCGTTAAACAAAGATTCCGTAAATGAATCCGTATTTGATCTAGCTGCTTCTGTTGATCCGCTGTAAAATGATCGCTTCGTTCTGTTATGCCAAGTTTTATAACCAACTTTATCAGATCCTTTATCACCTGAAAAGTTGGATCAGTTTTTTTTGCTGCATCAAGACTTAACTTTGAGGTCCTGACCTAAATTTGTCGTAACTGTACTCAAACGCTATGACGCTTAGAGGATCGAAGTAACTGAACTGGTTTCAACAAGGACTTATACTCGCAACAAAAAAGAGAATGGTAATAATGAAGAACCAGTAGCAGTAGTGAAGAAAAAAATTATTGCTCAAAAAATATAATGCATTGTCAGGCATACCTTTTCAGCAACTGTTTTTCCATAGTAGTCTTCCAGAAGGTCATATAAGTCGTCAAAAAAGCATGTCACCGTATCGTTGGCAAAGTGTTTCATAAGATTACGGGTGAATACCTTTGATAATACTTTCTTCTCAATTCGATATGCTAAGGAGCCGGAAGTTAGCTGATGGTCTTCTGCGTCTTAAAATGACACAATTTCAGTTGTTTTATTAGGTTCAGTGCTGGTTGATGAAGATGAAAGAAGAAAAAAAATTGTAATGTGTAATGAAGAAGATAGAAAATTTTTCTTATTTCCTATTCAAATTTTATTTAAGCCATAAAATTTCGCAAAAAAAAAAAAAAAAAAAAAAAAAAA